AAAACAAAACCTAAGTAAATCAAATTAAAATTAAATAAACACTTAATACAATTATTTGCACACATATATTAAAATATTTAAAACAGGTAAAATCAAACAAAACAAAAATCACGGACCAAGATGCCTATTTATGATTTTCTATTTAACAACCGGATTACGGTTCAAATTACGCATGACACATACATTTTTTGTATTTTGTTTTAATAAAATAAAATGGGCAAAAATCATAAATAATTAACAAAGTGCCATGTAAAAATCCAAAAATTGTACAGCAGGACCAATTGTTATTATTTTTATTTCTTTTGGAGCGATTGTCGCGCGAAACAAAAATCACGTGCTCACACTTATCATATAGAATTTAGAATAGATTATATTATTATATTTTATGTGACTCGAGATCTAAGCTATTAGTGCATTGAGTGATCGCGAACAAAGATTAGTTTGACTAAATTCATCTCGACCTTAACTCGTTATGTGTTGCTGAATTTTTTTTATTTTTATTTTTTGAAAATAGTGTTAAAGGAATCAAATAGTGCTTTGACGAAAATTTTAAGTAATTATGATTGATTATCTAAATGTTTGTTTGCCAATGATATGAAGTTAAGAGATCTTAGGTAAATAATTTTCGCTGAAGAAAGTCAAATTGACCCGAGTTAAAATAATTGAGTGAAAGAATTCTACCCAAAAGTGAAAAAAAAGTCGATTTATCCCTTTCGATAAAAAATATTTGCTTGACAACTCAGGACCAATATTCCTCCATACCAGCACATCAATGGTTTGCCGCTAAATAAAGTAACAAATCTCGAAGGAAAATAACGATTTAAAAACACACAGTTCCTCCGAGATTCATTTATTTGTTTCGCTAGTCAATTTGTTAATGTAATGACCTCGTTTATTTAAACAAGACAGTTCTCGTTTAGATGACGCACCTTTTACAAATACGAGCGTTTTTTCTTTATTTCCTCCTTTTAGTTCATTTAATTAATTTTTAGGATATCATATTATTTCCTTCAAATCCAAACTCACGTAACTCGTAAGCAATAAACGAATAGAGAAATCAGGTAAGATAGAGCAAAAATATATAGTGAAAAAAAAATTCTACTGCAAATTGCTTGACATAATAAAACATCTATAACCGACTATGAAAAATGGTTGTGGCATCCTTTACTTTTGACGAGGCAAAAAAGTTCAGAGGATACAATACCCCAACCCCATCCCCCACCCCCGAAAAGAAGGGCAAAGTTTCATTAATACCATTGTCAATTTTAAAGATATCTTAAGATAACTGCTTATATGTGTATGCATTATTGTGGTCCGGCCTTTCCACGTACCCTACGCATAGAGGGAGCTTAATACCGAACTGCCCTTATATGTGCATGTACCATCTCTTTATTAAGGAGTACTTTACAAACGTAGAATTTTCCGACACGGATCTGAACTTAGATCTCCCAACAGATTACCGACACCGGGAGAGAAACCCAAAAAGGAAAAAACTAGTAGCGCCTATAGTATCAAAACATTCATAGGTTTTGATCATTTGAATCAAGTAAATTACATCTAAAGGACATTTTCGAAGTTTTGTTTACTTGTAACAGATATATGCATCCTTAAACTAATCCAAAAAGAGAACCCCCGAGTATGTTCTCCAAAAACTGAACCAAAACCAAATGCAAATGCCAAGCAACCGACACTAAGCAACACCTCTCTTGGAAGCAGAAAAATCATCCTCAACCTGAATAAACAAATACTAATGTCAGTAAACACCTGATGTGCATTTTCCTTGGACAGTATCTCCAACATTGCAACTCTACACATCGGTCGAATCAGTCATAATTGGTCCGAAATACTTGCAGATTGGCTTATTTGGCAGTCAGACGCTCTATTTGAGAGTTGAAACCATCAGTCAAATGAGAAGCAGCAAACCAAGTAGTAGCCTAAAGAGTGTTCTCTTAGACAATCAATTTTACAATATGATGAAAGACAATGAAAAATACAGATGCCACCACGATGCATTTACGCAAGTTATAAGATGGCTGACACGTAGAAGCATCATAAAGTTATGGACACCAAGAACATGCGGGATGGCCCAAGTAACCATTGAAGATCCATCAGATTGCCCATTGGCATTTCTTTCCTCTTGACTGCTATCCTGATTCTGTTGCTATTAGCTATCACTTCAGCTATCAAGAGCACCAAGTGCTTTCATGTCCTCCAAGAATGCTGTATACGAGTCATCAATGCTTTGAGGTTTTGGTGCAGATGCGCTAGTTGATTCATGCTTGACAACAGCTGGAGTTACTGCTGGCTGGTTGACAATAATCGTGTTCAATGACTTTGGTTTGGGTTTTGGAACTGCAGATTCTCTCCTAACACGCACAGAAGCAGGAACCTGCACAAAAACAAATAAATAATCAGGATAGTAGCACGAATCAATACTCCCGGATCAATTTTCTTTTTCTTTCTGTTTTCCCTTTTGGACATGGTTATCTAGTGCAGATCATAATTTTGGATATCTATGTTCCAATTTCTAGTTTAAGGATAAGAAATTAAGATAAAAGGATACCTATATAACTTTATTTCATCTCTACATTATAGAGCGGATGATGTAATAATGCTCAAGAAAGTGAAAGAATAAATCAAGTCATCTTGATTTTCACCATTGGAATTTATTTATTTTTATCATGTCTTGAGGACATACCCCCCCCCCCCCC